GTCCCCTTGCTAGCTCATAACAGGTAAAATGAGGATCAAATTTTTGGAAGAATTTAAACTGTTCAAATTGCTCAAGGGATTATACGTATATTAATACATTATAATATATAGTTTATTCTAAATTAAAACTATATATTATGAGAGATATTAATTGAATGAGATTCAAATAAAATTACTATGAATAAGATTCATATTAAAACTATAGGTTAAAAATAATGTGCATAAGATGTACATTATGATTATAGGTTATAAGAGAGAAATGCTTTAGAATATGATTATATTTTTATGATAAATAATTAAGTGTTAATTATTTATTTGATTTATATATATATATTAATTGATTATTAATTAGATTAATAATTAATTAATATGATTAATTAATTAAATATATATTATATTATATATTAATTATTAATATTAATATTAATGTTAATATTAACACTCCCCTACTTAATTGCAGGGGGTGGGGTTCGTACTTTTAGGTGATGGACAATTGTTCTGAAAAAACGACCTAGAAGAAACATAACATAAGTTCTCTCAAGCTCTATCTTCTCTATTCCCTCTAGTTCCATATTGAACGCTCCCACAAGTGTATTCTTGTACCGAGAGGATAGTAAGGAAGTTCTATTGGTGGTGTTCGAGTTAATGCATTGAAGAAACGTTCTTCAAAGGTAAGGGAAATATTTTTTTCCTTGTATTTCCTTTTCACCGTATGAATTTTGTTTCTCAAAATTGACGAACGATGATCATCGCTCTGCTGCGGGATTCACATCCCATTAATTGGTATTAGGCAGTGTTTGAGTTCTGATTTTTTGGGATCAAAATCGGTGTTCTTGGGGGGTGTTTCCTCATTTTCGAAATATGGGTATTTCAGGTTGGAGTTTTTTTCGGATTTTGGCATGTAGAGAGCATTTTCCTTATTGATTTTATCATGTAAGGGCCCAATGTTTTGGGCATTGAGCTTCAGTATCGAGTCTGTAAGTCCGGGTCGCTGGAAAGCTGTTCGTGGCGTCGGATTGGGCGAAAAATTGCAAAAAACAGCGAAGAAGACTAAGCAGGCCGTGCAAATAGCGCCATGGCGCTGCGGGGACAGCGAACAGCGCTACATTGTAGCGTCGCGGGACTGTGCAGCACCATGCTGCTGTTTTATGCTGTAGCAGCGCCGCGGTGCTGCCCTTAGGCGCCGTGGCACCGTCCCGGGTGCTCTCAATGTAATTTCGATGCTCCAGTTCGCAGTTCGAGGGCGATTTTGGGCGTGTTATTCTTTTATTTGTTTATTTAATTTTGCTCTCTTAGGGTGTCAAAATCCGATCCAACTTTGCTATTTAATTATTTTATGAATTATGAATGTGTATTTTAATTAAATGTATATGCATATTGTATGCCATATAGTTTTAAAATCACACCATAGGTTACATGCATAATATGTATGTTTGATATATAGTATGTATGTATAATCATGCATCATATAGTTATAAATATTATAATGTATGAATGCATGTTTTATTTTCATGATTAATATAAGTGTTGTATTAATTAGTTGAAAATAAATGTGCATTGAGCATGACATTAATTAATTAATATAATTGTTATATTAATGTATGCTTGCAATGCATGATTATAGTTTCAATTTCTTAAATTTTATAAGAGTTATAAAATTTGGTAGATAGAAATTAAAATCTATAATAAAGAATTGCAGGAAAACATAGGGCCTAAGTTAATTAATTTTAAAGAGGTTAAAATTAATTAGACCTTAAGTTATATCTTCTAATATGATTATGGGGTAGTCATTTATTTTGTTTTAACTAGGTTTAAAATGAAATGATGACTAAATATAAAATATTGCCTATAAAGGAACCCTATCGAAACAAGGTTCTGTCTAAAGTTGAGGTACTTAAGCTGACCGTAAGGGAACACCTCTACCTGGGAACCGACCTGCAGGTTGAATTAGTCAATATTTTATATGCACGCAATAATGTCGTTAGTTTATTAAAATGTTTAATAAACTAGAATATTAATGTACAACTACCAATATAAATAGTTATATTGGGCCGACTAAAAATTCACTTAGTTAATTTCACTTAGCCGGGATTTATCTAAGTAATATACCCTAGTCTTAGAATACTAAGTGGGAGAAGAAGGGAACATGTAATATACCACGTATATGTCTGATATACCAGGTATGTATAACATATTTTTCTTTCCTTCTCACATTCTCTTTTATTTTCACATTTTGAGTTCCATGCTCGGCCTCGTGTCGACCTGGGCCCAGCCTCCCTACGGAAGGTGTTTGCATGGTTCAATTTCGAGGTGAATGGAGATAGTATCCATGGTAAGTGGGAGAAGGACGTGTGACAACACATCCTGTAGTTTCCGTCATTGCTTTGCACCTTGAGATTTTATACATGACTGCGTGTCGTCTTGGTGCGACCATCCCTACGGAAGGTTCATTGTATGGAATCAAAACCAAGGCAATCTCCAGAAATGGATAAGGATCTCTCTTAGGGTGCTTAATTACTTTTGCTAAAATTTGATTGGGTTTAAAGGATAATGCATTAAACTAATATATGTTTGTTTTTACTTTCAGCATGTCTATTTCTATTATTGCACTTCTAGTCGTGGAAAAACTTAACGGCGAGAATTACAAACAATGGAAATCAAATCTAAATGCTATACTCGTGATAGATGATCTTAGGTTCGTCTTGTAAGAGGATTGTCCTCGAGCTCTTGTGCCTTACGCCACTTTGGCAGTGCGCAGTGTCTATGACATTGGATCAAAGCCAATGACAAGCCAAGGTCTACATCTTGGTGAGCATATCTGATGTGCTTGCTAAGAAACATGAGGCCACGGTCATCGCAAAAGAGATCATGGACTCGTTGCAGAGTATGTTTGGACAACTGTCCTCACAAGCTTGACATGAAGCCCTAAAATTCGTTTACAACTCCCGCATGAAAGAGGGTTCTTCAGTGCGAGAACATGTTCTCAACCTAATGATTCACTTTAATGTGGCGGAGTCGAACGGGGCAGTCATAGACGAGCAGAGTCAGGTCAGCTTTATTCTGGAATCTCTTCCGAAGAGTTTCCTGCAATTCCGCAGCAATGCGGTTATGAATAAGCTGGAGTATACTCTTACCACGCTCTTAAATGAGCTGCAGACCTACCAGTCAGTTATGATAAATAAGGGATTGGAAGGGGAGGCAAACGTTGCCACCTCGAAAAAGTTCCACCGAGGTTCGACCTCTGGAGCCAAGTGTGTGCCATCTTCTTCAGGAAGTAAGACTTTAAAGAAGAAAAAGGTCACTGGTAAGGGGCCTAAACCTGACCCCAGTGCTGTCACTGCCAAGAAAGGCAAGGCCAAGGTTGCAGACAAAGGAAAGTGTTTCCATTGCAACGTGGACGGACATTGGAAGTGCAACTGCTCGAAATACCTAGTCGAAAAGAAGAAAGCCAATGAAGGTAAATATGATTTACTTGTTTTAGAAACATGTTTAGTGGAGAACGATAATCCGCATGGATATTGGATTCAGGAGCCACTAATCACGTTTGTTCTTCGTTTCAGGGAGTTAATTCTTGGAGGCTATTTGACGCCGGAGAGATGACTCTCAAGGTCTGAACGGGAGAGGTCGTCTGAGTTCTGGCGGTAGAGGAGCTCGAGGAGGCTCGACAGGTCGTCTGTTCATTTCTTCGTTTTTTCATGTTTTTACCTTTCGTATTGCCTTTAATTCAGTTTCTTACTTTCGTTCTTTGTTCATTCTGTTCTTTTAAAGTTCTTTAGCGAGTTTCAACTCTCCTCATGCTCGAGAGAGAAGAGGGTCAAGCTAGAACTCCTTGTACTGCTTATTTATTCATTTAAATTCAATGAAAAATACTTTCTTTATGTTTTCGTGCATTTACTCTCATCTAATTATGTTCTAAATTAGTTATCAACCTCCTTGTGGAATGCCTTAGTCAAATGATTTGATTTTCAACAC